CAATATTATGACGTAAATGAAATCCAGCAGGTTACAGTGGAAACATCATGCGCGTGGAAGCAAAAGGAATTGCAGATGGTATAAGTACATTTAAATTTCTAGTGTCACTTATTACGTGGTACAATATTCTTTTCGAAATCAACATTACAAGCAAATTACTGCAAAATAAGAATGCAGACATATTTGTATGTACGAAACAGCTGGAAGTTACAAAGAATTATCTTGTAAGTTGTCGATCAGATGAAAACTTCGAAAAGAATTTATCAGATGCTACACTTCTGGCAAACGAACTCGATATTGATGCAAATTTTCCTAATGCACCTAGTAGGCGAAGGAAAATTAAAAAACAGTTTGATTATGAAGCCGAAGGTGTATCAATACAAGATCCCAAACAAAACTATAAAATATCATTCTATTATATGATTATAGATAATGCAGTAAATGCAATACAGGAAAGATTTAATCAAATGCAAGAGTATTGTGCTTTATTTGGGTTTCTTTACGATATTCTTAACTTAAAGGATAAAAACGAAGCTGATATTCTTATGCAATGCAAAAAGTTTGAAAGTGCCTTAACGCATAATTCCTGTAAAGACATTGATGGAGAAGACTTATGCTGGGAACTTCAAAGTGTGTCTCGAAGACTTCCAAAAGTAATGGGCCCATCTGAAGTTCTTCTTTTCATTTTAAGGCATGATCTCCAGAATAGCGTTCCTAATATTTACGTCGCGTTAAGGATTTTATTAACTCTCCCTGTTTCTGTAGCAAGTGGAGAGCGCAGTTTTTCTAGATTGAAATTAATTAAAACGTACTTGCGCTCAACGATGACTGAAGAAAGATTAGTTGGATTAGCGACAATATCAATAGAGCAAGAACTGGCTTACAATCTGGACCTCTGTGAATTAATTTCATTATTTGCACAAGAGAAAGCACGCAAAGTAGCATTTTAATATTGTGGCCTGCCTTCAAAGGGAAATGTGCGGCATCTACAATATTATGACGTAAATGTTAATATTGTTGGAAGTAACGATACGATTATGTTTTAGAATTAATAAAATATTAGACAATGTTATTCTTTATAAAGAGTTTTTAAATTTCTTTTCCTATTCATATTTTACCTATTCATTTATGCTATTAGTTCATTAAATTGGACTACATAGAAAATGATTCTGTATTCTGTGCTGTATATTGTACAAATCAAAGGGCGTGATAGGACAGTTTGGCCTAGGGCGTAAAAAAGCCTCGCGCCGGCCCTGATCTTATGCTAACTAGCGCTATCTATCAAAAATCTTCTCAAAGAACTTAACTTGAGTTCACCAGTACATTATAAAAATTATTTACGAATGGATCCCACAACTTTTGGTGAATTATTGGTCATGGTAACACCACTTATACAGTGAATTTCACTTAAGATGCAATGTACTAAAATATATTTCCATAGAAACTAGGGCGTACCTACTACTTTGTCCCACATAAAATGCAACAAGTCAATATAATTTGACACTACAGTAAAACCTCGATATAACGGATTAACACGGGGAGCGCAATGTCCGCCGTAGCTCAATAAAAATATACAACAATCTAGTGCTGAATAAGAAATTATACTAGACTAACACTAGCACTAAAATTAACATCTGAAGACGCACAGCTAAACTCGAATGTTTCTGGTTGTAGGTTCTAGGTCTAGTGTTAGTTTTAGTTTTGCACTATCGCTAGAGCTAACACAAGACTTAGAACTGGAATCATTCGGGTATAGCCGTCTTGCGATACGTGCAGCTAACTCCGAATGTTTCTGGTTTAGGTCCAGTGTTAGTTCTACTTTTCGTTCAATAAAAATATACCACAATCTAACGCTAAATAACAACTAAAACTAGAACTAACACTAGACCTAGGACTAGAAACATTCGGGTTTAGTCGCACGTCTCTCACGAATCTGTTGTGATTTAGATTAGATCAAGATATTATGATAAACTTGTTTATTTTTTTAGTGCACTTTGTACTCTTTTTAAATTTTATCATCATCAAGCAGCCCTCTGCGTCCATTGTTGGACATAGGCTTCCCCTATTCTGTTCTATTCGTTTCTATCTTTCTCTGGGTCTTTCTCTACTTCGTCTATCCGTTCAAGCAACCGTGTTGTCCACTTCTTGTTCTTCATTCGCGCGACATGACCCGCCCAGTTCCACCAAGTTCCACTTGAGCTTTGCCACAATATTGACCACATCATTTACGCCAGCTCTCCTTCGTAGGTCTTCTTTTCTAATTTTGATGTTAGAGCTGGGAATAAGATTTGTCATAAATTTTGATTTCTCCACGTTGATACTTAGCTCGACTCTTGCAGACCCCTCCTGTAAGTCGTTCAGCATCAGTTGCATCTCTCCAAGGCTATCCGAAAACATTAATGACTTAGGTATTTGTCATTAATGTTTATGCCTTTTTGGATCCAATCCAGTTGTTTAAATGCATTCTTCAGGACTGCGATGAACAATTTGGGGACATTGTATCGGTTTGTCTTACCCCACGCCCAATTCTTGCAGCTGTTATAAATAAGTTTGGTGTATTGATAATCGACTCTGCATTTTTGAAGTACTTGCAAAACTGCCATCAACTCAATTTAAATTAAATTTTATAAATACCTCTAAATACCCATCTTGGGTAAATACCTCCGGGTATATATCCAGGGAATTTTCGAAAATAAATACCCGGGTATTTAACAACACTGTGCGTAACGCATTAACCAACACCATACACTACACAATTTTCACAAAACAGCGCTTGTTACGCAATTTGTTTGCAGGTGTATGGGGCCTATTAACCTACAACTAGAAACATTTAGGTTTAGCTAAACCCAAAAGTTTCTCGATCTAGGTCTAGTGTTAGTTTTAATGAGTGTTAATTTTAGTTTTAGTTCAATAAGATATAAAAATTAAAAAAATAAAAATGCTTATACATTTTTTAAGCTATTTAATATTTTTTAACGTGTACAAAATCAATGAAATGTATTATTTTTCTATTTTTAAACAATTACTAATTAATAATAAATCTCTAACACGAGTTTTGCGTGACGACACCGACAAAAAAAATAAACACTAACAAAAGGCAAATAGAATCACTTTCCGTTTAAATTAATACCATAGTAAAAAAATAATCAAGTAGATTAACAATAAACTCGTTCCTCCGCCGTTTCAAAACGATAAAATGCGTCTTTGTTTTGACTTGTGAACCCCTCTTCATAGAATTTTCGACCGAAAATCGAACGTAGTAAGAGCTAAAATTGTATATCAAACCCAATCAGCTGTTTTTGAAGTGACAGTTCGAGTTTTTAAGATGGCGTCTGACTGAATTTAGACAAAGAACAGGGTGTCGAAATAAATTGTTTTTTTCGTTGTAAAAGGTAAAGTGATTCTCCTCAACGAAAGTTTCAATCGACACTTGGAAGACGTGCGATTAATAATGTTGGACTTGGAAATTGTACCGGAACGATCTTTAGGCTGTGATCACTGGGAGTTCGTTTTAGGTATGATCTAAAAAGACTTAATTTTACTTAATTTTTAAAAGGGTTACGTTTATTTTAAGTGCGTCGTTTTATATTTATTTTTTACCAACCTGTTAAAGAATTTTGATTTTTATGTAAAATTTTTTTTTACTTTAGGAATGCATTTTTCGCAAGCTGTTGCGATCATTCAATCCCAAGTGGGGATTATCAAAGGTGTTCAAGTACTTTATAATGATAATGTAAGTTTCTTTTGTAAATTTATTCAAATTTTAAATATTTTTAAGAGAAATTTATTAATTGTTTTTCATTGCAGAATCCTTTAGACGTAGATCTTATTATTAATTTACCTCAGGATGGCATTAGATTATTTTTTGACCCTGTCGGTCAAAGACTTAAAATTATAGAAATATGTAATATGAAATTAGTTAAACTTAAGTATTGGTAAGTTTCTTAGTATAGTTTATTTTCTAACATTTTCTTTTATAATTTGAGAATAGAAATGCGGTTTTCACTAGAATTTACTAAATTTTATGGTAACTTTTTTTCACAAAAAATCAAACAAAAATATTTTAAAAAAGTATATAAAATGCTCTTTCAAATAATGTAAATATTTGAAAACGCATTGTATTTAGCCTCCCCCTCCCTTATTAGGACAGATATGAGAGATAGTGATTTCAAAGTAGCATGGTCTGAAACCAGTTATAATAGACATGTTTACATTGAAAACATTTATCTTGTATTTTGTAGTCATGTGAGATACAGTAATGTGAGTAATATAAATATGCTATAGGCTTCCAGATAACAATAAAAACCATCCTCCTAATGAAGACAAATAGAAAAACTTTCAATGACAACTTGCTTGCTATATGCTATACTAAGATTAAAATTTTTAACTGGCCTTTCCAATATAAATAAAATAATAAAAATAAAATAAACCTAAACATAAACCAAACTAATAACAAAATAAAAATTCAAAGCAATTTGTCACTTTTCTACATCACTACATGTAATCGATTAGTATTAAGGAAAGAGCAGTTCCCTTTCTTTTTCTGGACTTATTTTGACTTATCTTTTTCTTCTTTCTAAAATAATTATCCCAGCTTTAGAGAATAGCCTCTCACAGGGAACTGAAGGGCCTTGTACGCAAAATTTGTTTTGCACTATTTGTGTAGGGCAGTGTTTTTCAACCTGTGGGTCGCGAAGCCTCTGTAGGGGGGTCGCGAGAATTCACAATCAGTAAAAAAATCAATAAATTTCAAGGAGGTAGATTAAAAAAAGTTAACAAAATGATACTTGTTATGTTGTTGCACAAGTACGAGGTAGAAAATGGAATCAACCACTTCAAAGCCTCAGTTGTTAATTCCGGGTATTCTGTTTTTCTTTTTAACCAAAAGGTATCCAAATTTTCAGACTTGAATTTCAAGTGTAACATCCCATCGGCAGATAATTCCAGCAGATTCTCTTTAAGCTTAGTTGCTAAATTTGCCTCATTTATAGCTGCATTTAAAAACGGATTTAAGATCCATCTTTGCCCAGTGTTAATCGATATCTCTTGCACTGAGAAGTAATGACACAACTCTTTCTTCAAATTATCTAACACCATTTTCATACCAGATATATCTCAGCTTTATCAGATTTATCTCGCTTCCGACTTCTTCAATGAAAGACTGTGTCGACGAAAATGAATCAAAGTTGTTTTGATTTATAGATGATAACCACAATTCAATTTTTTTTATAAAGCCATGGAGTTTGTCTTGCTGACATTTTCATCCCGCCCTTGAAGACTTTTATTCAAGTTGTTTAAATGGTCAAATAAGTCGGAAAGAAAAGCCAATTTCAAAAGGAATTCCGGGTCAGAAATGAATTCAGGGTAATGTGACTTGGCTTGTTGTAAATATACTAATAGTTCAGCGCGAAGTTCCATAACTCTGGTCAGTACTTTGCCTTTTGATAACCACCTAACCTCTGTGTGGTAAAGCAAATTGCGGTGTAGTGCCCCCATATCTTCACAAATGATTCGAAACAATCGAGTCTGCAACGCTTTTCCTTTGATAGAATTTACAATGTTAATAATAATATTTAGAACTTGACTGTATTCTTGTGGCAAGGTTTTGGCTGCAAGAGCTTGGCGATGGAGAAAGCAGTGCATCCAACAAGCGTTTGGCATTTGTTCTTTCAGTCTAGCAATAAATCCACTCTTCGCACCAGTCATGGCTTTTGCTCCGTCACTACAAATAGCAATGCATTTTTGTGCCCAATCGATATTCATATCTTGCGTAGCTTCAACGAACATGTCATGCAAGAACTGACCTGTAGCATTTTTGGGAAGTGCCTTGCAAAATAGTATTTCTTCCATTAATATTTCATTGGATTCAAAACGCACAAAAGCTACAAACTGCGCACAACCCGCAATATCCGTTGATTCATCAAATTGTAAGGACACAAAAGAACTTTTCTTTATTTTTTCTATGACTTGATCACGAACGTCAGTCGCCATATTGCTTATCCTGCGTTGAATGGTATTGTCAGAGAGAGGTATACTTTTGAGCTTTTCGACCTCTTGTTTGCCAAACATAATCTCTGCTATATCTAAAGCCGCTGGTAAAATCAAATTTTCGGCAATACTGTGAGGTTTTCCTGCTTTAGCCACACGAAAAGCTACTCGATAACTAGCGAGCAACGCTTTCTCATTTAGGTTGGACATTTGTCCTATAGCAGTTTTTTGATGTTCAAGAGCTTTTAGTTTTCGCTCAAAAAATTCCACGGGTTTATTTTTTTCATTAGGATGTTTTGTGTTTAGGTGGCGTACCAACTTCGATGGTTTCATGCTTTCTCTTGACAAAATTTCAAAGCAAATTACGCACTGCGGTTTATTCTCAATCACAGTAAACCCAAATTTCAAATAATTGTCGTCATAAATTACGACAATTATTAAATTTAATTGTCGTAAATTTTTGTATGGATTAAATATTTTTAACATACATGAAAAAAAGGGTCGGGGTCGCGAAATATTTTTTGTTACTAGGGGGGTCGTGTCATGAAAAAGGTTGAAAAACACTGGTGTAAGGTATAGGAAATTATATGCATGTTCACGCCACCATTTGAGTGAATCTTCATGTCTTGGCAATAAATCTTCTTCCAGATATCTTTCTATTTCGATTATAGCCCTGGAATTAGAAGGGTGGCTTTTATGTGTCATCGTCTTCGAGTCATTTCCGTTGACTCTACAGTATTTTTGATTTTACAGCGGCAATTAGTGCTTTTCTGGCATTTTGCGCATTGTTGGTTAACAAATCAATCAATTTGAATCGTGGATCTAGAAATGTCGAAACAGCTAATGTATTGCACATTTTTATATTATCAAATCGACTAATCAGCTGAGATTTTATTCTTGTGATTATTTCTTGTATGATAGCATCGTTAATAAATTTTTTTGAAAGTTTTTCGCAAATATTAACAAGTTCATTATGAAAGAACCTTTTTTTCGAGTACTTTTAGAATCTCGCATAATTTCTGGCACATTCTGAACTTAACACAGAAATATCTGCATCCAATATTGCTATGGTACTTCTAATGGCATTTCCTAATTCGACAAACCAGCTCAACATATAATAAGTCGAATTTCAGCGGGTAGAAACATCTTGCAACAATTTCCATGGCGTTTTTCCGGAATTTTCTTGATAATTTTTCATTTGCAATAGTGCTCCTTTTAAAGTGGGAGACGATCCTTGTTATTTTTGATATCAGGAATTGAAATATGAGATGTTTCCAAACAAATTTGCAATACTAAATTTATTGAGTTAGCAAAACATCCAAAATGGTTCAATTTTAGTTTAGCTGTAATAGCATTTTTAATATTCGATACATTGTCAGAAACAACTATAATAGTATAACTTTATCTGCTACATTCCAATCTGAAATTATGTTTCGTGTGAACGAATAATAGTATATTATTATATGAGCATATAATGAGTGAATAATATCTCATTATATGCGAGTAGAATACTGTACTTTATCCACGACTATTGAAATTGATTCCATAAATTTGTTTTTTAAATAAATTTTTGAATAAAGATTAAACGTCAATGTGACACAAATTCAATGTTACAACTGTAACCAACTTCACAACAATTTGTCAAAATTAGATGTCAGTTTTATAAAACGTCGTTTTCTTTACGAAAATTAATTAATTTATGCTTAAATCATACGAAAAAAGGAATTTGTTTAGGTTTTTTTAATGTCAAACATTTAGAAACTCCTAAAAAATTGAATTAAATTGACGTTTTTTTTGAACTTTTAACGTTTCAAATAATTATTAAGGATATCTAAAGTCCTCCAGGTGACCCTAGATACCATTTGCGCTTGGTGTAAGGGAGAGAACCTCTCAATAAACCCGCAAAAGACAATTGTTGTACCCTTCACCAGGAAGCGAAAGTTGGATGGACTAATCCGCCCAACTATCCAAGGTGAAGAAATTCCTTTCTCAAAGGAAGTCAAATATCTAGGAGTAATCCTAGACAAAACCCTGTCATGGAATGGACATTTGCAGGGAGTTTTGCACAAAGCTAGACTATCCTTGTGGACTTGTCGCAGTCTTTGTGGAAAAAATTGGGGTCTTACCCCTGAAAGACTGTACTGGCTCTATGTGACTGTGGTTAGACCTATGATCACATACGGAGCAGCAGCCTGGTATAGGAA